CGTCGCGTCGAGCCTGGTAAGCCACTCGTGTTCCCGACGGGGCCGGAGGGCTCCGGAACCCCCTGCGCCGTACGTTTATTAAGTTTATTCACCTTGTGCATGTTATATATAGTTGAATAGTCCATAGACATCGCCAACTAGTCAACATCCTGCCCATATACCGCCCGAAAGTATCCAAACGTTGTCCATAAACTCGCCATGTCGTCAACAAATAAGCCAATCAAATGATAGTATAAATACAGTAATATTGTGCTATTTGCGATTCACTTTTCTATCTAACGCCTGCATTCTGCTAAAGACCCGATGATGCGCGCCCAAACGCCACAATATAGATAAATAACAAAACAATATATACTAAATAATGAACAATAAGTAATAAATAATAAAATAAATCAATAAAAATAAATAAAATAAATAGTCATGTAGGCAGATGAATAAATAAGTAAATAAATAACCAACAAAGAATAAATAAATAAATGCATAAATATAAAATAATAAATAATAACTAACTAAATAAATAATTTAAAATAATAGACAATAAATAAATAAAACAAATAAAGCACTACTAGTTAAAGCACTACTAATAAACACAAAATTATAAATAAATAAAATAAAATAAAAGAATAAATAAAATAAATAAAAATATTAAAATATTAAAGCGGTGCATTACATCCAACTGCTACATACTCTAACCTACTAATCGCCACGTAAGTCCTACAGCCTCCTCATGACACGGCACAACATTACTTATTTATTCGTTCCAAGGAACTTAGTTCAGCTCGTGTAAACAAATAAATAAACTAAATAAATATAATATAAGTATAAGAACTCTGATCCGGCCCGACTTTATTCCTTAAAACTAGGAACTAACATCTAGCCGACTGTACATGCTCACTGACGTTGCCCGCATAGTCCCATAGTCGCGATACAGGTTTCATTCGCCACGAACAGTTTGTAATCGCTTTTGTTCGCAGGTCCACGTACCCTGTTGCGTCGAAAGACGCACGTGTCCGCACCAGTGTCTATTAAATAAGCGACATTCGTTCGCTGGTCCCGAATAAAAATGCCGCGGGTTCCCAAGCCGTCGACGTTCTCCGCGTTTACGGACGGCTGGACCCGTTTCCCTGCTTCCACGTGCACGGGGATCTACACTTTCGCGCACGTTAGCGGTACAACGCGTGGTAATAACAAAGATCGTCTCGAGATCTCGAACGACGGCGACGTCTTCCAGGAGATCGTGAGCGTGCTCGTCGACGGTCGTTAATGCTCAGCGCATCAATTCTCGAATGAAGTTGCCTCATTTCTTCGCGGAATGCGCTGATAAAATCGGCCGAACCGATGTTTTGTACCTCTCGTCTGCTAACGGCTGAGATGCCTGACACGCGCCGGTTACCTCCAGTGCAGGCTTCCTCCACTCTGGGAACATTTGGAAGGACTTATAAAGACCTTACGACGACTGGCTACGTTTACGGACTTTGTTTGGATAATAAATATGGATGAAGTCAATAAAAGTAAAAACTTACAGCTCAGGGGGTTTCGGAGCCTTCAGGCCCCGTCGGTGACACGAGTAGCGTCCCAGGCTCGACTCGACGGTCATCTAGCGACTGGACAAAC